GAGGAAGTTCCAGTCAAGAGAGAAGGGACAGCTGTGATTTGTCTGTTGCCCTCGACTATGTGGACTGAACTGTGTCCCCTCAAAATTCCTATGTTGAAGTCATCGCCCGATTTGGAGATGGAGCCTTTGGGTGGTTACTGGGTTTGGATGAGGTCATGACGGTGGGTCCTCATGACGGCATTGATGCTCTTATAAGAAGAGACACCAGAGAGCTTCTCTCTCTCTGTCTCTCTCTCTGTGTCTCTCTGTCTGTCTCTCTGTCTCTCTGCCATGTGAGGACACGGAGAAGACAGCCATCTGCCACCTGAGCTCTCACCTTGATCCTGGACATCCCTCCTCCAGACTGTGAGGCGTGTCCTGTTGGTGAAGCCCGGCCTGTGGCATCCGATGGCGCCTGAGCTGAATGATGCCTCTGTGAGTCTGCGAGGGCTCGGAGGGGCCAGGAGGGCGAGGCAGGGCCCGCGGCGCTCGGAGCAGCAGGACCCGCGGGCTCAGCAGTGTGAAATCGTGCCGTGGGCACCGACACAGTCATTTCATGCTGCTTTATAACAGCAATTAGCATCCACGTGGGAGGAAGAATGTTAAAGTCCAAGGTCCTTGACTTCAATTTAAAAACCTCAGTACTACACGTGCGTAGCTTAAAAGTCAGCCGTGCCACGCAGCTTACAACGACACGGCTGTCCTCCGCCGTCCCGACTCCACCAGCTCACCACACACTCAACTCTTCAAGCTCATTCCTCGGTTACTTAACAAATAAATATGCATATACTATTTATTTTTTACTGAGGTGACATTGGCTAATAAAATTATATAGGTTTCAGGTGTACAATTCTATAACACATCGTCTGTATATTGTATTGTGTGTTCACCACCCCAAGTCTCTTTCCATCGGCTATTTCTTGATTCATATTGTTTATGCATCTATTTTATCCTCCATCTAAGGCAGTGGTTCTCAACCTTCTGGTCCTTTAAATACAGTTCCTCATGTTGTGACCCAACCATAAAATTATTTTCGTTGCTACTTCATAACTGTAATGTTGCTACTGTTATGAATCGTAATGTAAATATCTGATATGCAGGGTGGTCTTAGGCGACCCCTGTGAAAGGGTCGTTCGACCGTCAAAGGGGTTGCGACCCACAGGTTGAGAACCGCTGATCTGAGGGAACACCTATAACACTACTGAGGGCCTACTAAGTGTCAGGCATTTCATATATCAAGTCCGTTTCATTTGATATATAAAAGCCATTCACCCCATTTTACAGATGAGAAAACTGAGGCACAGAGAGATGGGACAATTGGTCCCAGAGCAGGTCAGTGGCAGAGCCAGAGTCTGACCCCCAAGTGTGTTGGCCTCCAGATTCAAACACACACATCGGGTTTCTCAGCCTTGGCATTACAGGGTCTTCTCGCGGGTCCCGTCTTCTCCTCTCTCTCGTTTTGCTCCTCTGTTGTGCTGGAGCACAGCTGCTGGTAGCTTTCTACGAAAAGGCAGATGGGAAAGAAATGCCCAGGTCTGCCGGCGTGTTTGTTCTCCCATCACACTCGGCTGATAGTTTGACCAGCGAAGATGTCTGGGCTGAAAGTCAGTTTCTCTGCGAATGCTGAGGCCTCACTGCCTTCTAGCTTCTGCAATGGCTGCTGGGAAATCTAATGCGGCCCTGCTCCCCTCCTCCTGGCATGTTGCTTGCCTTCTCCCTCTCTCTGGTAGCTCTTAGCTTTCTCTTTGTTAAGTCTTGAAATCATACGTGGTGTACATGTGGGTGGGTCTTTTTCATTATGCTGGCCTGGCCATAGGTAGACCCTTCCAGTCTGAAGAGGGACAGATAGCTCTCCCTCCAACTTCTGTCTCATTCCTAGACCAATGAGGTGAGGACTATCGTTAAGTGGCGAGTATCTGCGCAGCCCCAAGCTTTAAGTCCAATGTGTTTTAAGGCACCATGCTGGCCAAAACAAGTTTGCCAGCCAAACGCAGCCTCCAAGCCTCTAGTCTGTGCCATCCACTGAAGACATTGCCACGAGTATGGGCTTTGCCCTGGCCAGTTTGGCTCAGTGGATAGAGTGTTGGCCTGCAGATTGAAGGGTTCCAGGTTTGATTCTGGACAAGAGCATGTACCTTGGTTGCAGGCTCAATCTCCGGCCCTGGTAGGGGCCTGTGCAGGAGGCAACCAATCAATTATCTCTCTCACATCCATGTTTCTCTCTCTCTGTCTCCCTCCCTTCCACTCTCTCTAAAAATCAATGGAAAAATATCCTCAGGTGAGGATTTAAAAATTAAAAAAGAGTATGGGCTTTGAAGACAGAAAGATGAGCAGACAGACCTGGTTTTGACTCTTAGCTTCTTATCTGTAAAATACAGTTTCAAATCATAGAGCTGTTGTAAGGAATATATGAAATAATGCAAGTAAAGTGCTTAGTGCAGGGCCTGACATGTAGTAAAGGTTTAATTTATAATAGCTGTTATTGTAGTGAATCAGAGAATATTATATATATAATGAAAGGGTAATATGCTAATTAGACCGGACATCTTCCGGACGTCATTCTGGACATGCTTCCTGATGAAGCCGCGGCTGGAGGGAAGCCAGTGTCTGCAGCCTGGGGAAGGAAGGCCTACTCTTGCACGAATTTTCGTGCATCGGGCCTCTAGAGCCAATTCACAAAATTCCCTCACATTTGGAGCAGTGGCGCCACCTCGTGCTCATCATTAAGAACTGCAGCGCAGTGTAGCGAGCCTAACAGGTTTCAGAGCCAAGTTGGGCTTTAGGGTCAAACAGACAACGGTATTCATCATCTCGGAAAAGAAAGCCAAGAAGCTTTGAGATGTTAATGGAAAGAGACAGGATTTGAACCAGCGGCGCGATTTCCTAGCTATTGCACCGAACCACACAGCAGTGTCTGACCCACAGCCACCCGACTCCATCAAATGCGGGGCTTCCCTTCTCTTGGTGGGCCAGCAAGACAGCAAGACAAGGGCAGAGAGAGAGGGAGATGTTCAGCCTCCACAGGCACAGTCAGAATTTTGCACAAAGAAAAAACATTAAGAGCCTATTTTAGTTTTGGCATACGTGCACGTTTTGTGTTGTACAGTTTAGGTATTGTTTGCATTTTGTATTGTTTGTATTGCATGTTAGAGGGTAGATATAATTTTTTGTTAGAGGCTCCATATAATTTTTTCCATTTAAGGTTGTAATCTGGTTGTAATCTGGCTGGCTTTCTATTACATGCAGCCAAACATCTCTTCCAGCACAGCCCGATCCTCTGTGGCTCCATCAGAGATTATGAAAATTCCCTTCTTGCCACAAATCCCCAATCTGAACCCACAGCTCCAGGGCCCCTCCCTTTCTCTTCGTGGAAGAGTCCTGCTGAGACCCCAAGCCAGTGGTCAGTGATCATGGGCCTGGGCATTGCCCACAAGGTGGTTTTTAGTTCCCTTACAGCACAAGCACCTTAAATGAATCCAGTCGTGTTGGAGGACCAAACTGCCTGGAGCTGCCATTGGCCTGGGTTGGAAAAGACACCAACCAGGCTGCACCTGGACCACCAGGGGGCGCCCGACTCCGACAAATCTTACCTGACTCCCAGGTTCCAATAGGGGCTCAAGAATGAGCCTCCTTTTAAACCATCCAAGGTGATTTTAATATAGCCATCCTGCTGTCCCTAACCCCTCTCTCCCATTACACACACACACACGCACACGCACACGCACACGCACACACAGCCAGTCTACAGACCAGCCAACTGGGCTGGCTGCCCACCCCTTCCTTGTTGAGTATATTTTCAAAGTCCTGGGGATTAGAACTCTCTCCTCATTCCACTCCTCTGCCCCCACTCCTCCAAGTCCATCCTTCTTCCTGGTGATCATTCTGGGGTTTTGAAAACGTCTTTATCAGCATAATACACCTCCTTCGACGCTCACAGCTGTACTACCAGTGAACAAGGCGATGGCACGGATTATGGCCTCCTTGGCAGAAGAAGAAATGAGGCACGGTCGGATGTAATGACTGACACACAGCAAGTCACTGGTGGCACTGGGGAGAGAACCAGGTCACCAAACCACTCCTGGACCTGCCTGAATTCCAGCCTATTGGTGGGCGAGGGACCCTCTCCGACAACCATGTCACCAGGGCTGCGTCTTTGGGAGAAACTTAATGGCAAGTGTTGATTCACAAAGAGGTCAAGACAACTGCTTTCCTGCCACTCACTTGCTGTGCAACCTGGGGCAAGTCTCTCTGTGCCTCTGTAGAGTCTGAAGATGGCCCCTGGGTCCCCCTGAGACGTCCTGTGGCCTTCTCACTGGGGCCTGAATCATCTCCACCCCTTTGGGGCTTCCAAGGTCGTCAATCAAAACGCCCAGGGCTAATGGCAGCGCTGTCGTGCAACAGTAGTGATGACACCAATCTCCATTCTCAGCTGCTTTCTACAGCTGGGCTCCCATAAGCTTCAGTGTTTAGTGTAATCCTTACCACCACCCGGGAGCTACCTGGTTCTATTACCTTCCCCCATTTACCTGAGGACACGCTTAGAGAGAGAGACTGTGTGTGTGTGTGTGTGAGAGAGAGAGAGAGAGAGAGAGAGAGAGAGAGAGAGAGAGACCCAGATATATGCCCTGACCGAGAATCAAACAGGTTACCTTTCCATGCACAGGACGATGCCCAACCAACTGAGCCACTCCGGCCGGGCACCTTCCTCATTTTATAGATAAGGAAACTGAGGCTCAGAGAAGTAAAATAAGTAGGTGAGACTGGAGCCCAGGAAGACCTGACCTCAAAGGTGGGCTCTTCTACCATATGCTGCTCAGGGAAGCTCCTGGAACTCAGCTTTAGAGATTCCGGGTCTGCCCAGCAAAGTCTGTGGTCCCTGAGCTGCCCCTCGCGAGGTATTATGGGAACTGTAAGACAGAGACGGAGCCCAGACCAGCATGGCCCAGGGCCCCCAGCCTCCCACACTCCCTCCACCAGTCCCGCATCCCGGGCCCACAAGCAGACGCCGCAGCCCCGCCGGAGCCTGTGAGCAGATGCAGATTTATTATCGCACAGATTGCAGCATCCGGAACCCTTGCCCCAAACACCAGCCCTCAAACCAGGCCTAGAAGCTGACAGCTTGGGCCAGACCAAGAAACCTGGACAACGACCCAGAGCCCAGGCCTGGAGCCTGGCAGCCCTCAGCAGTGTCCAACCTGCCCCTCATTCCCCAGGAGTCCAGAAAAGCCCAAACACAGAGGCAGAGCCACAGGCCCTGGCCAGTGGAGGATGGCGAATCCGCAGGCTTCTCTCCGCAGAAATGCAGTCCATGACCCAGCCACATGGCGAGGCCCCCGCAGGGCTGAACAGCAAGTGTGAAGCTGGACAGAGGTCCCAAGTATTGAGGGGGAAGGGGAAGCACACCCATCAGAAGGCACTTCAGGCCGCAGAGCTGGCCTAGGGAGGCCGGGCCACCACTCCACGGCCCCCAGGTCCACAGGAACAGAGGGAAGGAGAGCAGCAGCCGGTCAGCTCTGCCTGGACGTCACTGTCCCGTCCTTCCCGCCTGGGGGCCGGGAACGTTCACTCCATTCACCCAGGGGCAGCCTCTGACAGCCCTCAGCTTCTACCCACCGCAGCCAGCACAGGGCCCGAGACCCAGGTGGTGCCAAACACCTGTGACGAGTTGCATGCAAACCTCTTTGCCACGCAAGCCGGGAGCTCGTCATCACACAGAGGCACCGGGTGGGAGCCCTGGACCTGCTCCTCTCCCTGGGAAACGCTTGCTGACAAGCAGCCTGTCTTCAGCACCTGCTTGAACGTCTGGCCCAGGGGAATCTGTCTGGGCTTCCAAAAGCTTCCATGCGCAATGTCCCCTGAGCCTGCTGCGGGCCCTGGTGGGGGAAGCGGCCAAACCAACTCACCGGGCATCACGGCAGCTTTATCTCGCCAGCCCAGGCTCCGGCACGGTGACCTCCGCACCCTGAGCACACTTGAAACTCTAAGTGCAATGCCAGCCTCGGGCTCAGACACACCCAAACACAGGGGCCATCCTAACTCCCCAGCCCTTCTTCCCAGCCCCACTCCCTGGCCACCTGGTCGGTAGCTTCCTAGCCAAAGGCTCCAGTCCCTCCTGTCTCCTCCTCTTCCGTTGGTCCGGAAGGGAAGCTAGCTGGACAGGTGGGAGGAGACAGGAGCACTGCATTCTGGGATATTCAAACCGAGCATGTCCATTTCCTCTACTGTCATCCAGAACACCTGTAAGCAGGGGACAGAGTGTGTGCTGGGTCAAGACCTCTGAGAGCGTCTCCTTGCGGCTGGCCCACCCAGGGAGCTGTCAGCCCAGCAGCCAGAGGTTAAGTTAAAGCAGGAGAGGGGGAGCAAGAAAGGGACTGGGAGTTCATATTAATACTCTGGTTTGGTGACTTCTCCCAAAACACACAAAGCCCAGGGAGGGGGTGACCTACGGACAAGGTGAGGGAGTGGATGAGGATGAGGGACAGGAGCAATCAGGGCTTTCCCTGCCCCTGGGCAAAGCTCTAGGAGGGTTTCCAGCACATTCTATCCCTCTGGACACCTCCGTCACCCAGCACGGGCGCCATGGGAGGCCTCCTTAAATGTTTGCAGCGTGGGTGTGAGCTGGGACCCAGGGCTCCGGGTCCAGAGTCCAGTCCTCCTTGGCCACCCTGCCCAGCACTGCAGAAAGGTGGGTCTCTGTGTCCTCAGCAGGAACTCCTGGCTCTGCAAAGAGATAGCGAGAAGGTCAGGTGAGGGAAGGAGGGAGGGTACACGGAGGCTGGGCCAGGTTCAAGGCAGGGTTCAAGCCTTGGGCTTGATCTTCTCTGGGGCAAGATACCTGCCCCACGGCTCTGACTCAGTGGGATCAGACACAATTCATTTCCCCTCCGGATGCTGCCTCTGCTCACTTGCAGGTGCTGTTCCCTTTGCCTGGTTCCCTTCCCTTCCTCTCTCCTCCCCGCTGCCAACAGGCTCACCCCCTCCCTCCTTCAGGTCCCTGCAGCACTCATTCCCAACCCCCTGTGAAACACACATGTACCCCAGGCGGCACCTACAGGCTAACGTTGTCATTGGCTGTTTACATGGTGACAGGACAGGGATTCCTTCTCCTTCTCTGGGACTGAGGTGGATCCCCAGCCCCCACTAAGCTGGGACCTGGGAGGAGGGCCTTCGGTGGGGCAGGCAGGAGGCAGACACCCTGTTAGCATCACCAAGCACAGGACTTACCCTGTAAAGACTGGTCCTTGCAGGAGAAAGATTTTATTTGTCTGGTACAGGGGTCCTCAAATTTTTTAAACAGGGGGCCAGTTCACTGTCCCTCAGACTGTTGGAGGGCCGGACTATAGTTTTAAAAAAAACTATGAACAAATTCCTATGCACACAGCGGCAGCAAAAACACACGGCGGGCCGGATAAATGTTTTCGGCGGGTCACATGTGGCCCCGCTGGCCATAGTTTGAGGACCCCTGGAGATACTTCAGCCTGAGGCCAGTGAGACCCACTTATCCTTTAACCCAGCCCACTTCACCCCTTTCCACGGGACCTTACCCAGCCCGGCCTCCCAGCTCCATCATAGGGAGAAAACCAATGGACGGAACCAACTGACTGACAGAGGGTTTCAGGAATGCTGGGGGCTGGGGGGTGAGAGAGAAAGAGAGGCGGAGAGAAGAGGGTCTGGCCATCCCAGCTGAACTCACTCCAGACCTGTGAGGGTCTGGGGAGCCAGGGGCAAGAGCTGTTTTGCTTGACATTTGAGCTGCGAGACTTTTACACAATGAGCTGTAAATTAAGGGTTTACTCCCACTATGTTCACCCCATTTCTCATTCCCTAGGGGTCCAGGAGTGAGTCCCTACTGTATCCCTGGATCCCAGCAAAGCAATTGCTCAGTAAATGTTTGTCAAATGAATGGATAAGTGAGAGGAGCCCCAGTGCTCACCTGATAGAAACCAGGTGCCCACAAATGTTGAGCTAATGAGAGGTGCACGTGTGTACGTGTGTGTGTGTGTGTGTTATGATCTGTCAAATCCACATTCTAGATCCCTGCCTCTGATGGGGCAGGTATCCTCAATTAACCACAGGATGAAGGCCCAGGAGGCAACAGGCCATTTTTTTCCAGCAATTCCAACCCCCTGGAGCCCAGAACTTTTGATGAGCTCCCACCCCCTCCCCCAGCCTCACCTGGCAGACGAGGGTCAGGTCAGGAGGTGAACGAAGAGGATCGCCAGGCCGATGTTAAGCAGGATCACCATGCAGATGAGGACGGTGTTGGGGACCTGGGAGCAAGGGAGAGAGGCTGCCTGCGTCCCCATGGCCTCTGAACCACCCCCTCCTCCCCTCCCCATCACTACAGGGCGGACAGAAAGCAGGAACCTCGGAAGGGCCCTCCTGAGAGCACCACCGCCCCCCCCCCCCGCCCCTGCTGTGTCCAGCACCAGGACGGCGGCCACCAGAGCTGGAAGAGTTCTTGAAAATAATTAACCGAGCCACTCAGGGTCCCAGGACGGGCAAGGACGTGTCCCAAGCACTCCGGAGGCAGTGCTGGGCTTGGAACCCAGGAGCGTGGCCTTCCCTCGAAATCCTCCGGGGCTGCATTCATCAGTCCCTAGGAGCCTAGCGTCACTGTCACTGCAATTCCTACCTAGGTCCTAGCCTCCTCTAACAAGCGCTAGTGGGGCCTTCCCCCCCTCACTCCCCCCAGGTAAGCCCTCCCTGCTACACCTTGTAGAAGAAGATCCCCCTGGCCCTGCAGATGCACCCCTCACTCCCGGCATGCCAGCTGCTTAGGTCCGAGCTGCCCTCCTGACGACCAAATATAGGACCACAGATAAGGGCCCCTGGGCCGGCCGTGGGGGGGAGTGTGCAGTGGTCCCACGGCCCCATTGTATGCGAAGAAACTAGGCTGGACCTGAACAGGACCCACCTTCCCAGGTTGTGGATAAACCACCCCCGTTCTCGGAGCGAGTAAAAAGGGCCAAAAGAATCTCGGTTCACGGGAATGCTGCCCACGAACGAGAAGCTGGAACGTGGGTCCTCTCCCTGGGGGAAACCCTCGCGGTTCTCTCTATTATACCCCTTGGGGCGCTTTGGCCCCCCCCCTGGGAA